GGGATTTGTCCTGTTCCGCCTTGTCTGATAACTAAATTCAAATTTAAAAGGGGGTTAATTCGAACGAAAACCTGATCTTTTCATTTTCAGGATTTTTGAGGATTTGAAAAGATCAGGTTTTTGTTTGAATTAATCCCCTTTTAAATTCGAATTTAGTTATCAGACGAGGCGGAACGGGACAAATCCCGTAAATTAAAGTCTTCCGCTCGTCCCGTTTATTTCCACTTTCTCCCCGCAACTCCCCGTGTGATAACATCCTTAGTGTGTGTGTGTGATGGCTATGTGCTGCCTCCAAGATCAGAGGCACCATGTTTCTGAATATAAATCCTATAAATCAGAAGAGAACATGAAGCAGGAGAGGATAATTGCCCTAAGAGTTTGGCTGTAGACTTGCCAAAGGCCTGAGAATATTACTTTCTGGGGACTATGGCTCCACAAATCCCCCAGACATCATGGGGATTCTGAGAGATGTGGTTCAGAAAACTAATTGTCTCCAGCCTCTGCCATGGAAAAATATGAAATAGCTCTGCTTTTTTCCCCTTTTAAATTATTGTCTTGTATTGTTATCAGTTTTAAAACTATGTTTTAAATTAAAGGTTTAATTAGTATGGTTTAAAACACTGGTTGCTGGTGATCTTGGGAGTCCCAGACTACAGAAATGCACTAAAAGTAGTGTTTTTAACTATTGCATCACAAAATTGTAGTACAAGTCATCCCTCCATCTCCATGGATTCTTTAAACATGGGTTCAATCATCCATGGCTTGAAAATATTCGCAAAAATTATAAATTCTGAGAAGCAAATCTTGATTTTGCCTTTTATATAAGAGACACCATTTTACTATGCCATTGTATTTGATGGGACTTGAGCATCCACAGATTTTGGTATCCATGGGGGATCCTGGAACCAAACCCCAGCAGATACCGAGGTCCCACTGTAGTGGCGACATGTCAGACTTTTATAACAATCTTATACAAAAAGGCTTCAAAGGAAAGTTCGAGATTGAAACCACAAAACTAGATTTTTTTCAACAAATTCTATTCTTTGCAATTCGGATTTAACCAGGACACTGGGTTTCATTCTTAGTATAGTATCAAATGGATGAGGTATAGCTATACAGGCAGTGTTACCACGCAATGACTGATATTACAAAAAGGTCACAGGGCTCTGCTTAGAAATATCACAGAGCTGCTTCTAACTCTTTGCAATTCATGACCTTTTCTCTATCTTGTTTGCATTCCCCACCACCACCTACATCTCTGGAGACTCAAAATGTGCATCTGAAAAAGTGGGCTCTAGTCCCAGAAAGTTAAAGCCACAATAAAGCTGTCAGCCTCTAAAGCCCTTCCTCCTGATTCAAATCTGCTATGAGTGGGTTTACATCTGGGTTTCAGAAGCACTTAATGCCTTTCTGAGAGGAAGCACAGCTCCTGTTGCTCTTAAGAAGATAGCCGTTAAACCCTGTTTGGTTTTAAGGACAAATTTAGATCCCTTTCTACTGGATAATTAGGAAGCAAGACACTATTCTTAAGATGCTGAAAAAAGTGGCGATATCACAACACCTGGTGGCCTTGGATGACCACTTCCTTACTTACTACAAGGTCTTTCTTGTCACTAGCCATTAGATTCTTACATTAAAACTTCAAAATATGAGATATTCAGAATTTTACACTTTCAGAAAAGGAAGAGCACCTTTGACAGAGTTTCCTTAACACTCCTTGAAATGATAGCTAGCATTTGGGTGCAACACATAAATAAAACTAAACTCAAGTTAGGAAGGAAAGAAACACACATATGCACAGTCCAATAATATTAAATAAACCTGATTATACTGATTAAGTAGAAATCAATTCAAATTACACAAGCCAAATTATACTAGTTAAGTAGAAATCAATTTAAAATAGTCAATTGCTTTAAAAAAGCATTTGAAAACATTAAAAATGAATACATTTTTTTAGCTAAAACGGACTTACCATGATTCTGATGGTCATATTATAACCAGCAGCAGGATCCCAGTACAAAGACAACATCCAAACTGTAATAAGTCTGCAAGCACTCTCTATATGAGTCCTTTTAATCTTGGGCCAAGAGTGTCCTTTCCAGGCTCCACCCTTTACAACAAAACAAGAAGATTTAAAGGGATAGGCTATTGGTTTGGAGCCTATCACTCTTCCTTTTCTCCAATATCTCTTGCAGGTTATGTTGCTGGACTAGGGTCTCTGAGAAAATATGTTGTCCCAGTGCTAAAGTTAGGTCCAGGGGTTGTCAATATTGGTTGGTGGTCAGGACTCTTGGGCCTTTTAGGGTGCATCTACACCAGGGGTAGGTAACCTGCGGCCCGGGGGCCGGATGCGGCCCCCTGAGGCCTTTGAACTGGCCCCAGGCTGGTCCTGCCCCCCCGCCATGATGATATTGATTATTGTTGTTATTACTTGTTCTTGGGGTTTTCTTGGCAAAATCTCCACAGGGGGTTTGCCATCATGGCTTTTCTGGGGCTGAGAGAGTGTGCATGCATATTTTTAAATTTTATTTTATTTTATTTTTATTATTTTTATTATTTTATTATTTTGCTTCGGCCCGCCAATTGTCTGAGGGACAGCAACCCGGCCCCAAGCTCAAAAAGGTTGCCTACCCCTGATCTACACTGTAGAAATAATACACTTTGATACAACTTTAAGAACTGTAGCTCCATCCTATGAAATCCTGGGATTGGTAACTTTACAAGATCTTTAGTCTTCTCTGCCAACAGGTTCTGCCATGTCACAAAAATACACATCCCAGGATCCTGTAGGATGGAGCCATGGCAGTTGAAGTGGTATCAAACCTCATTATTTCTACTGTGTAGCTGCACCCTTAGACTCAGGATTTTCATTTTCACTTGGGTCTGGTGTTTCTTCTGTTCCACTATTTTCTCAGGTTCTATGCAAGCCACTACAAGACTTGCTACAATCCTGGATTGCGACAGCTAAATTATTTATAATAATGTATGTTTTCAAAGCAATTCTGGCATGGAAGAAAGAAGAGGCTCACCTAAGACTCCATGACAGAGGAAAGCCTAGTTATCCCTCTTACTCAACAGCGTTATAAAGCAAAATTTATTATTAGAGGCAACTGGAAATTTATACAGAACAATGAATTGATGGAGGTGATCTGATCATATGCCCTTAAGATTATTCTTTCATTTAAGTTGGTCAATATATGGAAGGATCTATTGGTGGATCAGGGTTAAATGAGTCAAATCTCAGAGATATAGGGCCTTTGCAGACTGCCAGAAAGAGTGCGAATTTTAGGGTTAGGATTAGTGCTAGGGAATCATGGGAATTGTTTTTTTCTGAAACATTGAGCCTTCTCTGTCAGAGAGCTCTGGTGCCACAATAAAATACAGTTCCCATGATTCCCTAACCCTAGTGATAACATGTTTTGATGACTATGTAACCACTTGAACATATCTTTTCATCAGAAATGTGTTTTATAAGGGAGGGGAGAAGGCTGAGTTTGTCAAACTTTCCCATAACTTTATGAACCTGGCATGACTCTGACACCACAGAATTAACGCAGTTTGACACCACTTTAACTGCCTTGAGCCTATCCTACAGAATCCTGGGGTTTGTAGTTTGGTGAGGTATTCTGCTTGTTTTGTCCAATAAGTCTGGTGCCACACAAAACTACAACTCCCAGGAGCATGTAGAATAGAATTGTGACAGTTAAAAGGTAACATTTAATTCTGCAGTGTGTATACACCCTAAGATTGGCTAAGTTGGCCTGTTCCTGTGATCATAGGTGAGACCTGTTAGAGACAAGGCCATCATTATGAAATGTCATGCCAGGGTGATATAGCTGGTTCTCTTCCTAGGACTTTATCACATGGATTTTATCAAATGAGATGGGAGCATAACACTATGCTCCCATCAATATCGCACAATAATGCAAAGATGGAGTCTTAGCAGAATGTAGTTTTCTGTAGAGAAACTAGAAAATAGCCTTTTTATGGGGACAGGGAGAAGGGCATTAAATTTCTATTCTGGGCAATTTTTATTAACTGTAACCAATTTAATCATTTTTAAATTATCCCAGGATTCCAATATTCATCAAGAAGGGCATTAACACTGTTTAACATTCAAATGAGACATCTGCTACCTCTCAGATTTGGTTCTGACTGCCAATAGTTACTTAATATTTGCATCTCAGAGGAACTGAAATCTATACATGCATAAGAAAAAGAACTGTGTTGTCACCCAAGTCAATAATATTTATTTTTCACTTGCAGCACCAACCTCTTCATTGCTTCTACTGTCTTTCAACACGTCTGATTGACTGAGATGTCAGAAGCCACATGGCCATATTTTAAAAGATAGCAAAGGAAGGAATTAACTTATAAAATCACTTTAATGTTGCATTTTTTGAGCCTGCAACTCTGCATCTAATTATGTGAGAGGAAGCCCCATTGAATTTATGAGAGTAATTTCTGTGTAGACTCTGGTCTATTAGCCTCCTAGATGAGAGAGAGAGAGACTGGGAAATAAATCATGTAAACTTGAACATATTTTCTAATCTATTGGATAGATAAAAGGCCTCTCTGGAATTCTGTTCATTGCTAATTTGGCTTAACAAGGAGAGGGGGGAAATAATGGGAATGCTATGATGATAACTTTGGAAAAGCAAGTAGTCATCATGACATCTCCATAGCCTTGCTGCTCCCTAAAAACATCCCAAAATGTTATCACCTGTGTTGATCCATATCAACCAATTGGTTTTAGCAGCTTCCATCTCCATCAAGACTGGGTTTTTAAAATAAAATTAATGGGTCTTTAAGACCTTAGCCACCCCCAAATATTAGTAATAATAGGGATTGTTGTTTGCTTTCAAGTCATTTCTGGTTTATGGCAACCCTAATGCTATCATGGGGTTTTCTTGGCTAGTTTCTTCAGAGGAGGTTTGCCATTGCCATCCTCTGAGGCTGAGAGAATATGGCTTGCCCAAGGTCACCCATTAAGTTTATATGGCTGAGCCAAGGATTTGAACCCTGGTTTCTAGAGTTATAGTCCAGAGCTCAAACCACTATACCATGCTTGCTCTCAATAATACAGATAGTAGGAAAGAATACATTGTTTGTGAATACATTCCTTTCAAAACTACTGTGAGCATTGTATCTAGCCTTACAGTGAACTTGGAAACCTGAAGGACGTGGAGGATGACATTATTGTCCTTGCTAATCAAAATGTCTTGGTGCCCTGATCTATCCTGGCTCACAGGCAAGACTTCATAAGCAGTTTTTAAAAATGTAAGACTTCTCTTTGACTGAAGACATACCTGGAAAAATTACTTTTGACCCTAAGACTCCCAGAATTTCTAGGAATATGGCCATTGAATTCAGGGAGTTGCAGTCCAATAAAGTAACTTTTTGAAGATCAGCCTGAAAGGAAGCACTCTTTCTTTTCTTCTCTTTTTTTAAAGCCCTGGCTCCAAATGATGCATGGAGTGTTCATTTCTATGAGGCTCCTTCCTCTTGTATCCCCATACCCTCCAATTATCCTGATTTGACAAGAATAATCCTAGCTAATCCTTTGCTGTCCCACTTTTTCAGCCGCATTTAAAATGTCCCAGTTTTTTCTCTTCCTCCCACTTTCTCCATTTGTCCTTGGCTTACTTCAACTGCTGCAAACTGAGTTCGAAGTGAAAAAGTAGTTTGCACTCAGTTAACTCAACAGGTGGGAAGAGGAGAGAAGTGACAGGAATCTTGCCCTTCCCAGGATGTTCAAGCAAAAAAAAGTCTCCTGGCTTGTGTGTTCTTCTTCAGTAATACCTTTTATCATCTTGACCATGCTGTGACATTGTTTGGCTGTATGTGTCCTGGTTTTCATCTGTGAAATGTTGGAGGATGTGTAGTCCTTTACAATTGATTAAACAAGAACATGTGACTGGAATGTATCTCTCACTGAGACATTATTGTTATATTATTATTATTATTATTATTATTATTATTATTATTATTATTATTATTATTATTTATATCCTGCCCCTTTGAGGTCAATTGGGGCGGCTAACAACAATAAAATACAATACAATACCACAAATCTAGTTTCCTCCCCCCTTAAAAAATATTAAATCAGTTACAAATTAAAACACCAATTAAATTTAAGATAATGATTAAAAGACAACAGTAATATATTGTCTCCTAAATCAGCCTCTTAGTACATTCCAAACAACCAGCATCTATAAACATGCAAATTACAATAGCTAGAATTATAGTTAAATCTAATATAGTAGATATTAAAAAATATATAAACCTACCTGAAATCATGCACATTTTTTTGCTATAGCCATTTTTTATTCCACTCTTGTATTCATTCCTGTGTTTCCAACATAAATTTCAAAATTATTTATTTATTCAAAATATTTGCAGACTTCCTTTCATGGTAAAGTCATTCCACAGCAGCCTTCAACACATACATTTATAATATAAAAAACACAAACATTTTTATAAACATAAAACACACAGGGATGAATCCAAACCATACTTCGAGTAGATCCAAAGAAACAAGTTCCTATTTATTTTCAATAGGTCTGCTCTAGAAGTTACTAAATCTGGATCCAGTCTGGTAATTAATAATGAATAGGAACTGCCAATAATAGAAAAGAGATCACCCAATAAGAAAACTGAGATCAAGGAAATGCATACAATTAAACCAGATCAGAGAGGGAGATATAGCAACCTGATAAAACAAGGCTCTGTTTACAATCAAGGGCAAAAAGAAAAGAAAATCAGGAAAGTCTGGCTTCCTCTGATGAATCAGCAGGCCTGAGAGTGTTTGTGCGCTAAGTGATGTGGCAATACACAACATACTTTCAAAGAGCGGAAACTAACAGGATTAAATTTAGCTTACTGAAAGCACAGAATAACACACTCAGATACTAGAGGGGTTTAAGGTCAATCACTGCATTAAAAGCTTTGTAAGATCCACCAGTGATTTTGCCCAGGCAATGAGAAGGCAGAGGGAGAAAAGACAGTGTGGCTGGAGGAGGAGGTGCAGCGACTCTTTCCTTCTCTTCGGTCAGGGATTCCAGATGCATTACCTTGATGCAGAATCCCAGACAAAGTGAGCAGAGTAGCCCATTCCCTATCACCAAATGGCTTTTTGATGGGAAGGGAAGGTAGAATTTCATGATCTTATCCAAGGCTTCATTCCCACTTATATTTAAACCAGTTTGCAATTTGCCTTCGCTCCGTGTTGGTGAATCAATTCCAAAAGGTCCGTTGTTCCCACTATGAAAGCGGATCTTTTCATTATCCCCTTGTAATTGCTTCTTTTTTGGCACGATTGTTGTTCCCACTAGCTTGTGCTGCTTCAAAATGCATGTCAGTCATCTACACGACATTGGTGATGCAAGCGGCAACACGGTGAGGATGGGGCTGTTGCAGGCACCGAGTGCACCGGCAAGTAGTTGCAAAAACAATGGATTGTATATTCGGTGTATATATATATATGATGCACCTATAGGTCACACAAACACAAAGGCAGTGCTGAGGGCGGGGGGTGGGGGTGGGGAAATGATGGATCTCCCAAAACCCAAGAAGGGATGGTAAACACCCCTCTGCCATTAGTCCCTCCTCCTAGTATGATCTGATTCAGATCCGTCGTTCCCACTTGTTGAACATGGATTGGAACCGTTTTCAAGTGGGAACAACGGTCATATAACCCGATCTGCAATTCACTTTAAATCATAGCGGGAACTGTTGGGATTCCCTGACTGGGAATGATCTCAGACAGACTACTGGTG